GAAAAAAATATATCTATGTATTTGTATTAGTTTTCATAAGCTTTAACTAGCTTAACTTGGGTCTATATGGCGCTATTTGAATTATTATGTCGTATGTAAACTAAGTCATCTCTTTAAATCACATAAAAAGTGATAAGTGACAAGATCTATTTGATGTGACCACAAAATTAAGTCAAAATTATTTTGAAGACATTAAAACGTGGTTTCCCACGGAGAAGCGACTGCGCGTGTCAGTATGTTTGTAGGCGACAGTCTACGTAACTACGGGAGTTGGAACCGTTACATTCTGTTTGCAAATGGTTTGTATGCAGTGTGTAGTAATTAACAGGTATCTATCGACACAAATGTAAAACTGTTAACGGTTAATGTCCAATGAACAAAACATAAGATTGCTTCACAAATGAAAGCTACTTTAAAACTGACAAAATTAGTATGTAACGAACAAGAATAGACTCTATGTACACGATATATTTTTTTATTATTATTGTATGACAATTGATTAACACGTAAATAAATCATAAACTTTCTGCGTCTATAATAGACTAGCGGCTCACCCCGGCTACACACAGGTATTTAACAAAATTTTCAACAATTATACATTTTAAAACCCACACACAGATACACCATTCGACATTGTTGTCCTCTATAAAACTGTAGTACGTCACTTTGCTGTATTGACAATAATTTCCTCAACATACGCGATTTAAGGATTACTATTCGTATTTTTTTCATTGGATTACATTATCCTAGTTTTCTAAAGGATCTCTAACGTTTTTTGAAAATATTCTATCGCCCATTAGGAGTAATATAGGATACTAATAGTACAAGCGTCCTTAAGCATCCTTAAGCGAGAAGGAGGCATTAATTTAACACATGAAACGGTGCTGTAGAATCTATAGGTAAGATATTAATTAAATGAGCGACTTCACTACTGTTGGCTATAAGGAACTAGTCTCATTGATGAGTTCTATAGCCCAAACTGTTTTATCAATTACCCTAGAATTTTAAAACATCATATATTTTTATGATTAACTTCAAATTTATCAGTTTTAGACGCTTACATTTCCAAATTCCTATATAACTTGGAAACGTAAGCGTCTAAAACTTAGCATATTTATATTGCGATTCTAGTTCTGGCTGAATAAAAACCTCTTTATTACGCGTTGCTTAGGTAAAAAGTTCTTAGTTATATTTTGACTGAATAAAAGATATTTCGTTAGTTTATCTCTGCACTGAATAATGCGGAGATAAAATAAACTTTATTTACATCTGAAGAATATTTCTCTGTATTAATTATATATTTTTTCAATCGCTAATTACATTCTCGTATGTTGTTGCCTGTGAGACTGGTCCCTTATTAGAAAGAGACCCAATTTTATAGTTGAATTGAAGGTCACGTGGGTAAATGTTATAATACCACGAAACCATAAAATTTAACGACTTCGCAAGATACGAGGCAAAGTGGTTCTAGGTACAAAATAAACAGAAGCCATACAAGGGATAATTACCTTAAAATTTCCTTCCTAAAATTTATTTCCTAAATACTTAGTATTACGTTTCAGCAAAATAATCGTTATGTTTATATGGTATACAACTGTAATTCGCGAATTCGCGACATTAAAGATTCGGACATTATTTACATACTATACTTATGAGTAGTGTATTGTTTCGTTTATATATGAATTTTGGAATGATGCACCAACACACAACGTGTTAACATTCGAAGCTGAAGGTGGCACCAGTGGAAGATAATAGGATGAGCATTAAATCAGGTCAGTCAGCTCATGGTGCGGAATTCACCAGTAATTAGTCACAATAGTTAATACGTGAAACCGATGAGATAAACCTGACATGGTATATTACTAGCAATAGGCTTATTATTATTAGTACCCATTACTGAAAACGTCCTCACCCTCAATGATATACAAACAAGTTACTTAGCGTTTTGGCAAAAGAAGGTTTCTTAGGATCTTATAATCATTATTATGCAAATTTGGTCGATCCCCTGTCCCATATCAATTGGGATTAAAATTACGACGGCCTAAGCCGAAGTTCAAACCTTTAGCGGTGCCTCATGTTAAAGTCATAGATTTAATAAATCTCCCGCAGGCTTGGGAGTACCATCGGCAATCGCTACTATTTTTGACCGGTGTAGCCGTAACGGCCAGCTGTGGCCAACGACATTCGATAAAAAAAATAGGTAAATATGTGCTTTTTGATGTGCTACAACCATTACTGCGAAAATGATGCTTGTCTTTTAGTGATTCACCACGGGTATCTAATCAATATTAAATAGAAGACACACTAAATGTACCGCCTGTGACGTAAACTCAAGGAAATTAAATATAACCAATATTTTAAGAAAAAACGCTTCCATGTTAATTTTCCTGTAATCCGTTTTTAGACCCCATCATCAGAGTCAAGCATCAGTTAGTAAAGAGTCATATGAATTCAGTCTAAAACTCTCTAAGGTTACATTGTTTTATTATAAAGTCCCCATAGTGACTTTGGTTTAACTATGATGTAGCCAGAGGACGAAAGTGATTGTTAGTATTGAATCTAGTGGCCTCATTTCTAGCTAACCGTATCACCTATCACCAGTGTGTTTAAGGTCACAAGAGAAAAATAATGAAGTCAAGTCAATTAGATCATCGGCAGCGGGACGAATTCATAACGACGGTTTCCAATAGAGATCGCGTGGAAGACGACCGAAAGAGGCACTTTGCTAGCAATGAGACCATTACTTCAATCACTAACAATCCCTTACCTCTCCCCCTAAGCCCTCATTAATCTCCGTCAACGTTATGTTGGAGAATGTCTGTGGTTAGACAACAATTAGCTAGCTCATATTTCGAAAAGCATGTTGCGATTCTGTGGCTAGAGATATCCTAACGGTAAATCTTTCATTAGTTACGTGTTAATGGTGGTTCTCATCACCGAACAGTTAGATAGGCATTAAATATTTACGAGTCTAATGTGAAAAACGCAATTTAAATAAACCTGATATGATAATCAGCTTTGACTGATAAGCAAATGGTTATTATCTAAATGTGACGCAACAATGGACTGTGACGCAGTCTTTATATTATATTCAATTCTTTATTTTAATAGTTTTAGATATGCCTAGGGAATCTTTTATAGTATAATATATATATATATAGTATTAAACTTGTAGAACTCAATACTTGATCTGATAAAGTTATTTTGCAATTATTTGCCAAAAGATTAACTTTTTATTTCAATTTCAAAATAGGGATCTATACACAAATCAACAACTAAAGGGATTGATGGAAGATCATGGAAAATGGCCAGAGCTCCACCGACAAGTGGCTCTTTAATTATGTATGAATGAAATCAATATAAGTAAACAAGAAAATGTGACAACACATGTTCATAATTTCAATTGAATTCAGTAATGTTACTATTTATAATAAATACACATACCAAGTAACAGAAAATAAAATTGCAATTATTATTCTGGTATAATTGATCTATAACTGATCCAGTTACATGGTTTTATGATTCCAGAATGCAAACAATGATCAAATGTATAATGTATGTACATTCAAAAATATGTAAATGTATTTCTAATCTCTTAATAACATTGATTTGGTTGATGACTTTAATTTGTTTTGAACAAACATGTGTTGTAGACAAAGTATGTTATCTTTCTAAATTTATATTATAAAATGTTAAAAATCTTATCTTGGTTTAATTATCCGGATTAAAAGTTATTCAAATACCATAGACAACAACTAATCTTAAGTTAGTGGAGTGTCCACAATATTTACAAATGTATCTTTAAAATTCATATAGTTTTTGTGTGAAAGAGTAAGAAACATCCATTCATGCACACAACAAACTTCTGCATTTATAATATTAGTAAGACAAGATAGTATACACACAAAATAATTACTAACTGCTTAATATTTGCTCACATGTTCCAATACCTTTTAGCAGCTTTAATAAACTTATTCATTTATCTACTAACAAAATAAAGAAATAAATTATCAATTACTTAAATTTACCATAAAGTATTAAATAATAAATTACTCATGAATGGGATTTCATGGTTAAATCTACAACTTATTTACTAAAATTAGTATTAAATTAAATATAATAACAAGTATTGGTAGGTGTGTTTTGTATACAGATGATGATAGAATGGTGCTTCTACCTACAGTAATGCTGGCATAAGAATGAAGTTAAGTTAGCACATGATGATGTTATCCAAAATATCATGTGGAAGTGAACCTGATAAGATGCACTGGAAACTATGTGGTCACTAAACACCATAATTAACACTCTCCCTACCCCCCAAATTGTAATTTATTGACTTTAAAACTATTATATACCATGTTGCAATCAAATAAATGTATTTAATGTAATTATTACAACATAATCAGTCAAATTATAATTCAGACATCATATATAAGTGTGTGTGAATTATAAGGAAACTATGTTTTTACTGGTACATACAATTTGTAAATAATAAGAGGAAATACTTAAAACTTAATACCTACTTCACTCTAATATTCAATAATGCATTGTACTCAAGAGTATTAAATAGAAGTGATATTTTTTTCTTATTTATTTTTTATTTTCACATAAAAATTAAATATACAAATAATTTCATTTTATACACCTTCACACACTACTCTGCACATTTATCTCAAGGATGTAGAGTTCTTTTACATAATATTATTTACTTTTGTGTTATTGGTACATAACATAAAAGTATCCTGGGACACTTCATTATGAACATTTCCAAAACACTAAAGCTCTCAGCTTTATAATAATGAAATAATTAAACAATGCAGCATTAAAACAACGGGGATTTTAGCGAATTAGGTACTTTCACCGGTTCAGCTGTAAGATACAATAGAGCGATAGTAATCTCATCTCATGAAACTGTCATAGGCACAATATTAAAATTAAGCATATATATAAACAACAAATCAATGAGGGAAATCACGTTTCTTTATGAAGATACCACTTACCATATGTTATTACCTTTCCCTAAGGTCAGCATTGCAATTAAGTCACAGTAAACAGTATTATTGGGACAAAAAATAGCTAAATAACTTATGTCACTTGTCCAAGCATATTCCTCAACGTATTGAACACAACCACAAAATATTCACTGGTACAATAATGTTCACTATATGGTTATGAATAATTCTAAAATACACATGTACGAATATAGCACAGAAACAATTTGAGCAAATTAATATTTAAATAAAAGAGTCTATTCCCAAAATTGAAGTAACAGGACTAAAGGGTAGAGTATTTTCAAAAGTCAAGTCAATTTTAGAAAAGCCTATAGATTTTTACAGTATGCAACAAATTTCAGTCGTTCCGCGTTCGTTGGCGTTTAGCACAGACTAATGACATTTTAGTTTCTATTTCGTTCACTTCAAGTTTACGTTCATTCCGTTCTCTTCCTTGTTGTATAACTCTGTGCTAGTATTACTAGATTAGGCAACATTTCACCAGTTTGGCCAATTTGGGTGACCAAAGATAAAAGAAAATAATTGTTAAAATATCGATTCTGAATATTAATCGATTGAATCCTATGATTGTTATAAATAACATTAATAAATAATAATAAAATAACATAAATAAGTATATGACTAAATGAAAAGAACATTAGTAATAAAATAATATAATAATGACCTAGCACACATTTTGTTAGGAATGTACCAGCGTCGAACAATGGACTGTCTAGATACCTCTTATCATTGAGTTTCCTCAAATCAGGGGTATCTACTTGTTCTTTATCCTTTATGACTTAACAATTTACTATTTGTAATGTAGATTGTTAAGTCATTTCTTTTCTAACCTCTTCAAAGGCAAAGAGAATATTTTAAAGTATTATATGCTATTATATGCTACTGGACATCCTCAACTCTTGAGATATCGTGTCTTCCGGTTAATGCGCTCACAAAATGGTTGCGTTATAATATATGTATGTAAATCGCGTATCACGATGTCTGTCCGATATAAACTCTGGATCTATTTCTTTTATGAATCTTAATTGATTGCTTACAATTAGGTTCAACTTCGACAGTAGAAGCAGTAAATAGCACTGATTATGTTTTATTGCTAATATAAAGTTTTTTTTAATGGGACAAGTGAGTTTAACAAGTATTTGATTGATTTGATTACCCTACGTACATACGTTATATTTAACTTGATAGTTGGCTGTAGGGGGCCTATCGAATTTAACCAAGTCAGGTAGTAGTAAATGTATAAAAGTGGTTTGTATTAGATAAATAGTTAATAAGTTTCATTATTTAGTTTACGCATTCTTTGTACTACAAAATTCCTGTCAAGGATCTTTATTTAGTTCGCTGTTAATAACAAAGAATATTATTATAATGCTTGCGTGAAAATACGGTTATTCTGCATTTGTAATTTATATTTGAATATTACTACTAAAATAAAAAATGTGTTTGAAATTTGTCTAACCTTGTTTAACCTTGTCTAATATAAAAAAATATATATTGGATTGGATTGTTTATAATTATATTATATTATTGGCTTGGATTATTTATAATTGTATGATAAATAATCCAAGAGAAATGTAAAAAATATTTTGTTTCTTAAATCAGGGATTATTGTGTGTTTGTAATAAATGTTTTTTTACAATTTATACAATAAAATTTATATCAATTTATTTTTTTTATGACAAGAGTCAGTTTATTATATATTTCAAGCAAAATTAATTATAATATCTTAGTAATATCATTTAAAGTATATGTAGTATATTTGATTTTCTAAAATACGTATATAGTGAGCGTTAGCCGATGGATGTTATTTTTAGCACTTTATACATAGCAACTTCTAGTAACACTGATATATTGTCAAAACGATACTTAGAATGAAAAAATTGACATACGAAAAATACAAATAATAAAATCATATTTCTTTTTATAAAATAGTTAATATTTACACCATAATTCCATTAATAATGTTAATGATACAATTTCTTTATATTCACATCGAATTGTAACGTAAGTTCATTTTATAATGTAAAATCCATAAATTTTCATCATTGCCAAATACGTTTCATTTCTAAGATACTTAATGTTTCGGTAATATCTGATGCAGTAGTCAGTAAATCTAATTCTAAACTAAACATGTAATTTCATATGATATGTCTCATAATGTTAAAGATCAGTATCATGTAAATTTTTTTTAACTTTTTGATTTGAATAAGTTTGACCTTTTGTAGAACTTTTGTTCAAACATCCACATTAGTAGTTTCACTAAAATTACACTTATTATATTGAATAAATAATTTTAGACGGTGGCGTAGCACAGGCTTAAGACCAGAGTGTGTCATACGTCCTCTAGTGTCACTTTATTTTGATTTTATAGTTGGGTCTAAAAATGGACAATCAGGCCGAAGAGTTATTAAAAAATGAACCACAAATGGAATTTAAAAAGCCAGTTCTAATAGGTCGTATTGGTAAATTACCTAAAAAAGCGAAAAACGAACCTGAAAAAAGCAATATAGAGAAAAAAGATGAAGAGTCATCAGAAAATAATTCTGAGTCTAAAACAAAAAGTAACTTGCCTCCAGCTGTATTACTAAAGGAATTGTCTATGACAATACCATATAAAGAACCAAAATGGTCAGGTCTATGTCCTGATGGTAAGTTACAAAATATCTTTTATTTTAACTTTTTTGTCTGCTCTTTATGAAAAGATAGTGTATGTGTATTGATGTGATACAATATATCTTTACACAAAATTCCTAAGATCTGATCAGATTAGATATATGTAGAATTATAGAAAAGTACAGAAATATCTCCTTTGGAAAGTATACACTATATCATGTGATCTCCACAAAACAATTACTCTTAAAGTCTAGGTAGCAAACTTTGAAAGATAGCAAGCAGAATAGATTTATGTAGGTCACAGTGCTACAGTAGCACCTGACAATAGCTTAAATCCCAAAAAAATTTATGGAGAAACATCATACAGATAAAAAGATACACTTTCAAATTTATAAATGCTTTTATCTTTTAAATAAAATAGATTTGCTTGTCTGCACTGCAACTTACATTCAGAATTTTGAAAAAATTATAGCTGTTGTAGTTGTAGATGAGTACTTTCGCTTAAGTTTGTTCTGGAGATTAATAAATAACTTAATTTTTCTTTCAGGTTCCGATTATGCTTTAGAAGTATTAAAATCTGGGGTTATTGTGGAAAAAAATGAATTGACAAAGAAAGCCTATTATGTCTTTGGGCGGTTAGCAAACTGTGACATTGTTATGGCTAATCCCACTATATCAAGGTATATTTTGGCCGTACAAATACTTTTTTCTCTTGTTTATCTGCAATCAACCTAATTGAAGATCATTGTCAATATTACTAAAATTATTATATTAATCATTGCAGTCATTTTGTGATGGACTTGCTTGTGACTTCATGTGCATCTAATAATCTTTCACTGGTGGCCTAATCAGAATACTATAATATTCCTGGTGGAGTCAAGTGTACTATTCATACATTAAAAATAGTTCATTCAATCCCAATAGCAGCTGTTGGTGTATGTATTAGTGGACTGATTTCTGCAAATAATTAATTTCATATGAAATGGTTCTTTTTTAAACAAAATCAGAATGTCCATCTGTGATTCTGATTTCAATATATAAATACATAACATTGAAATTTTTTCAAATGGATATGTTTAATGACAAGTATATATATGTATAGTTGTATTGTATAAAATATAATCTATTATTTCTTTTTATCACCTAATTAAAAATCCTATAAAATTGATTGTAAATGTTTGCAGACATCATGCTGTTCTCCAATACAAAGCATTTGCAGAAGAAGGTGAGCCACCATCAGGATGGTATATCTATGATCTGGGCAGCACACATGGAACATTTTTAAATAAAGACAGATTAAAGCCAAATCATTATACCAGGGTACGAGTTGGACACCAGATCAAGTTTGGAAATAGTACACGAACTTATATCATGCTGGTACAGTTATATTTCTTATAGATGAAGTCAAACTAACCACTTGTTTATTATAGATAAGCTTTCTTTACTTATATTTGTTTAGTCTCTAATGTTTATTTATATTTTTGAAGGGTCCAGACTTCGACTGTGAAGGTGAATCTGAATTAACAGTCACAGAAATAAAAAAGAGAGCAGAAACAATGAAGTTAGAACGAGACAGAATGTTACAGGCGGCAATTGAACAAAGGGAGAAGGATAGACTTGAAGAGGAAAGGAAAAGAGAAGAACAGGGTGTTGATTGGGGAATGGGTAAGAAAATATAAAATTAATTATTTTAAGTTGTTATACATCATTATTATTGATGAAAAGTGTCAAAAGAAGTTATTTACTTATTGCATCATCTCTTCCCATCCATCCCATTCCTTTGATTGTTTGTATTGGTCTAGATGTTTTATAACTTATTACAAAAAATATTCTATTAGTTGTTTAATACAAATACAAGCTCTGCTTAGCTTGTGACTATATGACGGCATGTGAATTGTCCAGGGTCATTTATATTAGATGTTAACATGTCAAAATATAAATATTATAAATCGTTATTATAATATATTATTATTATGATTTAAGTTCTATCTTAAAAACCTACATCTTCAAATGTTTTTGTGTAGTAACCAGTTTTTATATATCCATACCCATTCATTTAGTACATGCTACCAGGCTATTAGGCAGCAGAAATGGGTGATACTGACATATATATTTTTATCTAAGGTGAGGATGCAGAAGATGAGCCTGACTTAGCTGAGAATCCTTATGCAGTAACAGCCAATGAGGAATTATATCTTGAGGACCCAAAGAAAACACTCAGGGGCTATTTTGAGAGGGAGGGTCACGAGCTGAACTATGACTGTCAAGAAAGAGGCATTGGACAGTTCATGTGCAGGTATCATAGCTGATTAAAAATATTTAAACAATTGAATACAACTTCATCTATACATTCCAAATTTCATTTATGTGAAATTGGTGATTAGTCAACAACTAAATAATAAAAATTGTCTATATTAAATTACTACTAAAGAAAATTGAAGTGTTTGTTTGTAATATCAAATTAACAACCTTTCAAAGTATAAAGGCATATGAAACATATCATACCTAAACAAAAAAATTAATTTGTCAGCCTCGGTGGTCTAGTGGTTTATCACACCGCTTTACTATCCGATGGTCGCGGGTACGATTCCTCGCACGGTACAAACATTTATATTCATGAGTATGATTGTTTGTATAGGTCTGGGTGTTTCTATGTATAATATATGTATTTATTTACAAAAAAAATCATCCATGTCCAGCTTGGGACTAGATTGCGTTGTGTGAATTGTCCTGAGATATTATTATTATTAATTATCTGTTTATCACTGAAACCGCTGGCCCGTTTTTGACGGGACTCACTTGCAGATAATTATTATTATAAGAAATAAATTAGACGATCTTTTTTTTTGAAATCTTATTTATTATAATAAAATAAAAACTCGCGGTTTACAGCTAGTAATATAAGAGCCTAGTAGATAATAATTTGTCGCCTCCCCTTGTCCGCACATTAATAATGAATCCACACACATAACTTATGGGCCCTAATCAAATAATTCATCTTGAACACAGAGTGGAATTGCCAATGGACGATGCTCGTGGCAATCCAGTTGTTGCTGAAGTGATCCACCGTGGCAAGAAGAAGGAGGCGGTTATCGCATGCGCACTGGAAGCCTGCAGGATACTGGATCGAGCTGGTCTATTGAGACAGTCCAAACATGGTGAGCAAATTTAACTGGATGTCTGTAACCACAATTTTGGCCCTATGGGGCTAGACTAGCTATTACATAGGGATATATTTACAATACATATAATATAGTAAATTTACAATAATAATAATAACGAAAGAATAATTCTACTAATATTTATGAATGATTATAATGTAATACTATATTATTTACAATTAAGTAAACTACAAACTTCTAAGACTACTAAACTTTACGCAATACAAAAGTACATTTAGGGGGTGTTTACTACTAAATAATAACAAAATAAGTTTGTAACTAAATACCATAATATATATCTACACAATTAATACATAATATAATTATTCTCCACATTTAATTATTGTATTACTAGCTACTCGCCCCGGCTTCGCACGGGTGTACATGTATTATATATATAAACCTTCCTCTTGAATCACTCTATTAAAAAAAACCGATTCAAAATAAAAAAAAAATTTAAGCATACATAGGGACAGACAGCGACATCTACTTTGTTTTATACTATGTAATGAAGAATAATAACTAACATTTTTTTGTTAACGATCAGAATCTCGCAGACGTAAAGAGCGTGATTGGAGCGCCGACGATTACTACGATTCTGATGACGACACTTTCCTCGACCGCACCGGAAGCGTAGAACGCAAGAGGAAGCTGCGAATGGAGAAACATGGCGCCGTTGATAAAGAACAGGACAAACCACTCACATACGATGACTTGGTAAGTGAGAAATATGTGTAATTCATTGTTAGCTTAAATTAAATGTACAAACAATTTGCCGGTATTACAATTTTTATAACCAATTTAAACTAGCATCTTATACAAGTGTAAGTAAATGAATAAATGTAACGCTGCCGTGAAGTCATGAACCATGAAAAATGTGCCTAAACGATGATACCTTTGACCCAGGCGTCATCGGCTATAACTAGTCAGTTAACAATTTTTTATGTCATTGGAATGTCGATAGCTAACAGCCCACCTGATGTTAAATAGCAGCCGTTGGCTGTGTACATAATCATCATCATCATCATGACTTCACATTAAAATGTCACATCTACGGTTCATTCTCCTCGTGCATTGCGCTATGATGTCATGTCTTCTCTGTAATTTCACTGCCTTATCTTATCACTTAAAAGTCTGTAAGAGAAGTGATTAAGTTTACAAACAACTGCAAATGCGTAAAACGCCGTTTATGGTTAGAAGAAATGTATAATGTTTCATGTTTTATTTCAGCTTAAACAAATAAAAGAAACAGAAGAGAAGATAGCCGCAGAAGAAGCCCGACTGGAGCGTCTCCGTGCTTCCGCGAAACCTGTACAACAGACAGACGGTGAAGCGGACGCTCTTGATGTGTTCATGAGTTCCCTGAAGCAAGGACCCAGTATCGCTCAGAGAGCTGATATATCTAACGCCAAAGTATGTCATTTGATATGCTAGAATAGTTTTTAACACCAGTCCGTAATATACAATAAAATGAAAACGGGGGTTGTTGTTATGGACTAATGACCTAATTCTTGAATAACTGATAAACCATTTTGATAAATTCGTGATGAATTTGTCATGATGTGCTAACTGACCTAATCTTATGTTCATTTTATTATACTCAGCTAAACTTATGGTTATTGAATTACTGACTACTACTACTTTTGCTTGTCTGACCAGAATATATTGATTTACTTTATAAAAGATACTTTAAGTATTATACCAAGTATTGTTACACTCTTATTGTTAACTAGCTTTTCTCACGGTATTACCTGTGTGGAAAAAAATATTCTGCACACTTGAAAATTTTCAGTAATCTATTTTTAACATCGAGGTATTTTTGTATGTTATATAATAAACCTACAATCCAAGTTTTATCTTTGTTAGTAGTTATGTGACGTGCGTTGATAGTCGTTTACTCCATATATTTATAGATCAAGAGCATGTGAGGGTTCTAAATAAGCATTAATTGTATGGATACATACATGAGGTGTATATTTCTATATTGCTAAGGTATGAAATTGATTTTATAGATGAACATACAGAAACTGAAAGCGGAGTTGACGAAAACTCACCGTTTAGCGGATCTAGCTCGGCCGGCACACATGCCGCCGTTGTTGAAGAAAGACAGCAAAATAGCTGTCAAAGTTGGGAGCAATTCCGTTGTCTATGGTAAAAGGTGAGTTATAGCGCCATTTTAATATTCTACAACTGATCTGATGCCGTAATGGAAATTATATAGACACTGACACAAAGCTGATGTCATTACATGAATATCAACAATCCTACCAATGCTGTGCATTGAATCCTGTAAACTTATATAGCTTTCTCAATATAATATGTATTGTATTCCCCCGAGAAGTATACTGAGATTCATAGACATTTTATAGATAGATATTTATGAAATGATGAAATCATAATGTTTGTTGTAGACTTACAAACATCAGATTCATTTTTCATATATACTATCCAGGTCATTTTGGTCATATTTTCTATTCTTTACAGAATAAGATTAAAAGAAGATAGTGAAATGCGCCCGAAGGTAAGACAAGAAGTTAAAAAGGAAGAAACCGAATTTGTTGAAGAAATGGATTCTGATGAAGAGGTAGAACAACCTAAAGAAGAAAATAAAACGCTAGAAAAAGTTTCCAAATCAAGTGTGGCTGAAACAATTAGTAATAGCAGTAAGAGCGAAAAAGGGAAATATGAAAAAACAAAAACATATGGCCCAATGCGACCCCCAGATGATTATGTAATTCCAGAAAATTACTTTGATCAAGAAACTGATAGAGACCTTCCAGAAATAATGGAGAAGGAAGATGTTTAAATTATAAGGAATAAATTATATTATAAAATTTTGTGCGTTTTAATCTACTCAATTTGTCTGTGTCTTGTCCCCAGATACAATATCATTGTTTTACTATTGTATACGTATGTCAGTCTGTAAGGTATATATTATAATTTGGACCATTAACGTCTGTTATATTTATTTGGATAAATAAATATAACAAACGTTAGAAATTAACATTAAAAAAACACAAAACGATTACTCCTTTGATTTCATCTTAAACATTCAGTTTAATTCTAGAATTAGCAAATGCAAAATACATGTTGCAACCTATATTGCAACATGTGTTTCACCGTACATCATCAGACAATGAATAGAAGTCGGATATAGATTGGACTAGTGTTGACAGATCTGATCGGCGAGTCACAGTTTAGTCGTCTATCTGTAAGGCTGAATTAAAACGATACTGTAAAAGTGAAAATGGCAATTAAATACTGTGACCAGTTTTAAAGAGCTAGAACCCAGGGTCATTATGGAATTTAATTAGAGTTTGTATCAGAGTTGCTATAAAAAATCATTCATTCAGGACTGATATTATATAGAACCGTCAACCCTGATCAGTCTGTACTTTATGTTGGGTTCAAAAGTACTTGTATCCAGAGCCGTAAAATATTGACAAATAAAAAAAATATATATGTTTTTGTCTTCCTAAAGCGTCAGAATAGTTTAAAATAAATTGAATTATAATAATTTTAATACATTTGTTAGTATCATTATTAATTTTATTGATTATCTCAATAAAATTAATCTTATTAACTTTCAAATAAACAAAATTATGTTTAATATCGTCTATTAAGTTTGCAGACAGACATAACCTACAAATCAAAACACCGACTTGAGTCCTTGTGTTTTGTTGGTTAAAATGGATAATATTGTCACTGGGGATGACAGTGTTGAAATCGTGAGTACATCAACTGGATTTTGTGTATTGTCTTTTAAAATAAAATTATATTTCCAACGATGCTCGAACTCGAACTCTGAAGACGCTAATACTTCAACAACGCATGACGCGAAAATTTGTTAGTTGCTTTGGTCAGTTTTTCTAAGCTATACTTACAATGCTCATACTTGTTTTCCTAAATATTTTATAAATAAAATTGATACGCATAAAATATTATATATTGTTAATCAGGTCTTATCACAGAGAAAGTTTTTACCTGAAATAGTAATTTACTGGGATAAATGTAGGCTACATACTTATATATAATACTTATATATATTCCCAATGTTATATGAATACCAAATTTGATAGTCACTGCTTTAGCTATTACAGTATCATGTGGTAATAATGAAACACAGTTTCTAAGTTCAATTTATAATATTATTTATTAAGTAATTAAGGATTTATTGTGCCAAGCATGACCTTATATTTATACTTCATACATAAAATTTACACCACAATAGATTCCAAGCCTACTGCTTTAAGGTGCATCTGAGTTGGTACATCACTAGCATTGCTACCAGCTACCAGCTAATAAGCTCCTATTACAATTAATCTCTAGCCCTAAATATGAAACAGTAACTGTAATGATTTATTTTTTTATACCCTAATTTGTGTCACACATTAGGTGAAGACCTCCCTCTCACACATCTCTATGCTTAGCTTGGTCCGGCCATATCTTACCAGGAAATTGGTCTGAATCAACCCATCTTCACTTTGGTATACAACTTTATTGGTGCCCATGTCTTGGTGTACAATATGTGACCAGTTTGGACCACCTCTCAGAAGGCATCCTGGCCACATGACAAGCCCACTCCCACTTCAGTTGCCGCTGTCATTCAGATCAGTTATTTGATTAATTAATTACTAAAATCATATTCTGTTAAAAAAGTTAGGTCTTTATTTGTATAATTTCAGGATTGGGGAAATGAACGATTAAGCAGAGCCCAACGTGCTGTTGAAGCGAATATTTACGATGTTGACTCATGGTCACTGCTTATTAGAGAAGCACAGACTAGGCCTATTAATGATGTTCGATCTATGTATGAGAAACTCATTACTGCATTTCCTACAACGGGCCGCTACTGGAAAATATACATTGAGCAGGAGGTTAGTATGAATATACAAAGTCCCTGTGATACACAATTTGGCATCTGAGATCATGTATTTATCACTACACATAACTTGACCAACCCAACTTATTGCCTTAAGTACTGATTATTTGAATACTGGAACAGATAGTCATAGACAAATTGGTTTACACTTTCTTACGTTACTTTAGGTATGGGCCCATCTACAAATTACGTCACACCATAGGGGGAGAAGGTTGACAAAGTATAACATTGTATAACAAGATATTGGAGGAGTCATTCTCCAAATTTAAGTAATAAATCATTTAATCAGGATCCCCTCCCATCTTACACTGAGTATAGTATTATTTTTATGAAACAAAAAACATTTCACATTACATTATAAGTATAAAAAGCTTGTATAGGACTTACTTCATACATTATTATATAGAGAGCAGACATAACCATGTGATGTTAAAAGTAAAAATACATTTTACTCAACTTAGTTATATCAAAAAATGATATTAATTATAACTTTTTACAGATGAAGGCGAGACTCTTTGAAAAAGTGGAAAAGGTTAGTATGTAACATCATAAGTTGTTTAGTCGTAAATTATATGTGTGATATTAAAATTAAAAAATCAATCTTGTCTATGAGATAAGTAAAGACAGATTCTATGAATCTCTGTGTATTTAGAAGTAAGATGAAATAAATAAACAATATGAAACTACATCTTTTTTTTCGGTTAGGGTGTCTGTGTTCAGACATGTTGGAGGTGATTTTCTGCAAGCAGCAAGTAGTTTGTTTGAATAAAGGATTTTTCATTACAATTATTTTGTTATGGGTAATAATGAATTAATTTAAATTAAAAAAATGGTATATAATTTTTAAAATTAATAAATTACACTATATGATGATTATGTTTAAAATGCTGCTCATGAAGATCACTTTTGAAATGTAAATAATCCCTGCATAAAATAGTTAGAAACATTACAAGTTATCACATGTATTATAATAAACTAGATTTAATGTTTATTTAAAAAGATTGTTATCAATCAACCCTGACTCCAGCTGTAAGGATTTATACTAGTTTTTCAAGTATGCTGTATAATTATGAAGTAGTGTACTGTTTATTTTCGGCTGAATGTAAAAAGAATAATATAATTAATCACAAAAGTAAAATTCATTATAGTTCATTTATTAGTAGTAGCAATTATCTTTAATAAATATTTATATGTTTATAAATTATTTAGACATTATAATATATTGTATATAAATTTTAATTTATAATATCTGAGAAAAAAATATATTATATGATATGAGGGCGTGAATCATATAATATTAATCCGAAAAGGTAAGTGTAATTCATTAATATAATGTACTTACTTGTATTTAGTTAATATCGTTCAGTGTTCTAAATCAATAAGTTACATAGGAACGGAATTGTCATAAGTAAATTAATTTTACTGTAGAATCCGGAACGAACTGAATATAAAATAATGATAAGAAATAATATATAGCCAATGTATGTCTGCTTTTTTACATAGATGTTGTTTTGCATATGGCAATTTTATTGGCTAAAATTAGATTTTACATTCTAAAACCATTGGAATCTATATAGGAAGAATAGGTCTTAGTTGTGTTAAGGTAATCATTTCATATTAAAATTCAGAATAATCATTATTGCCATCAATAATTATTTAAAATAATATCTTTGCAGAACCTTATAATTAATTAAACTTGAAATATTGTGATAACATTTAAAAAAGATTCTTTCATATTATACACCCAACTGTACCTATGTTAGCGGAATCTCACATATATGAAACTGCAATTATTTGGTGCAGAGGCCAGACCACAGCCGGTTATTAATTAAAGACTAGTCATAAATATCTGATAGTTAAGAAAACAAAATAATTTTTGTTCTATACATTTTCCTCTACGGTAGAATAACGTAATATGGCGATGAAATAACATAACCACAAGAGTAAATAGCATCTTTACTATATTATTTTACTCCGGGTTCTTACTTTATCTTACCGCATTACGTTCCATTTAGATTTCTACAGCCCGCACCTCCCTACCGTATTAGTACCATATCGCACTTAGGTACCTCATGGTTGGAGGTAGGTATATATATGTATATTCATAATATTAATTTAAACCTTCGTCAGTGTACAATTGCACGCAGTCCTGACTTCCTAACCAGCGTCATCTGTATATCAGGAGCCATTTTCATTAAATTTAATTATAAATTAAATTCTAAAAAGATTAAATTTTACATGTAAAATTGTTAGTTAACTGAATCATTTAATTTAGCATTTGTTATCGTTTACAGTATTTAAGAAAATTCAGGTATTCAAACTTAAATCGTGATCAAGTAAAATCAGTCCGTTAGAGATTTGGAAAGTTCGCTTTTTTACTCTTTTAAACATATTTTTGATGTACATGGAATCTGGAATGTTAAATAAAGTGATAGTTCAATTCCTTAATAGTGGCAACCGTCGTATGTATGCATGAATAATATCACGGATATTACGTCGTCATGTAACGCGATACACACTACCTTACACTACACTACCTTATTCGTTATCATTCCAAAGAACTAAAGTGCCCTGCCACCATATCCTTATACATATATTATTTTGCCTACCATATCTCACCTTTTAAATTAAAATACAGGCAAAGGTACCCGCGTATATGACATTGTACAATGGCTATGTTATTGAAATCTACACAAAGAGAGCACCCTCTATAAATTAGTTTCATCTTGCAGTATTGTAGTTGAATAGGTATTGTGCATCATGCTTCTAATGAAACAGAAACTTAACTGAAAAAGTGTTGGTACTGGATTAGTAACGGAGGTGCAGGTTCGAACTACGCTTTTTCTATATCCGACGATCTACTTAGGAAACTGATAATAATCCAATTTGCAATACATTCAATTATATCGTTGCACTTATAATTTGCGAATAATGCTACATTTGCGGAATCAATTTAAATTTATATCTATGCTTTACAGATTCGCAGGTATTATTATTATATGGCATTTTTAATTAGTTTCTACAATTGATGTTGTACTGATTACGTGTATGTGGTTATCCAGCTGTTTCAGCGGTGTCTCATGAAGATCCTTAACATTGAACTATGGCGGCTATACTTGAACTATGTGAAGGAGACCAAGTGTATGTTACCGACTTACAAGTAAGTAATGTCATATTTTTTATGTAATTGGAATAGCAAACAAATTAATAATAATAAGAACTTAACCCTGGACAATCCGAACAGCGCCTCCTACTCCCAAGTTAAGTAGTAGAGATTGTGGTATGGGCATATATATTTATAGATACATAGATATTTTTGTAAATACATAATGTACGTCCAAACACCCAGACCGATATAAACAATTGTCCTCGTAAATACAAAAGTTTGAACCCTGCGAGGAATCGATCCCGCGACCATCGGAAGTAAAGTGGTGTGCTAAACGGCTAGGCCACAGGCTGTCAAAAAATTGACGCCGGAACAAATGAATACATCCATGTAAACAAGCGACGGACAAGAACATTACGAATTGCTTGCAACCTTTGACACAGTTTTTGCTTGACGGTGTGACTCCTGAAAAGACCTAATTTATTAGTTCTACTGTAAATATAATATATTTATTTTTTTACATCTAAAAGTGTCAAAGCAACTGTACTTGATACTGTTTGTAAAGTCAAGTAGCTAAAGTGCCGACTATCGCCTATAAAAGCATTTATAAAGACAATTACTAATGGATATAGTTAGTAATTAAGTGTGTGAATTGTACAGGATTATTATTATTATTTCGCTTTTTAGTTCTCTTTAAATATGTTTATATGTGTTATATTTAATAGATGTTGTGGATATAAATTTACGGATAGGTTTTGGATATGATTATTATACCGGATATGGATGCCGATATGAAATTATTTAGGATTATCCGTTAGTAAAATACAAATAGCTAATAAAATAGCTAATAAAATGGTTACATAACGTGTTTCAATTACCCTTTGCCCCTATCCGATATTATCGAAACCCTATCGTGATATTATCCGATAACGAAACTTTATTTCTGATTCTGTTACGGTTACGAATATTTTTTTATATCGGATATCCGATAGTTTCGGTTACGGTTACGGAACTCCCTAACACCCCTGGTATCTATCATTTATTTTATAACAACAAGTTTGAAGTGTACATTTAAAACGCGTTGTAAAATTTGTAATTTTTTTATATTTTAGGGAGAAAATGGCTCAAGCTTACGATTTCGCACTCGACAAAATAGGGCTCGATATACACGCGTACCCAATATGGAACGACTACGTCACCTTCCTAAAGAGTGTCGATGCCGTAGGCTCCTACGCTGAGAATCAGAAGATATCTGCAGTCAGAAAGGTTTGTGATTGAACATCAAGGTTCTTTTTATGAAATTAGAAAGTGAATGGTCCCATCTGATAGAAATTAGTAACCGTGTATGATTTTGTTACATAGATGCAGTAGTTTTGACATCAAAGCGCAACACACAGAGTTACTTTCGATTTTACAATATTCAATTGAAGCGTCTGTAATTTCTAAGCTAAAAAGCTTTTCACTAAATGCATATGAAGGCGTATGCGGTAATTACATATAAAAATAATTTAAGAAAATTGTGTCTGTCTGTTCTACAAGCTACTTTTATTTTATTAAAAAAGGTTAAATTCTACACGGACAAAGACGCGGGTAATAACTGGTATTACTAAAAAATAGACAATATATTTTGTTTCAGGTCTACCAAAGAGCAGTTATAACCCCAATAATAGGTATAGAGACGCTATGGAAAGATTATATAGCTTTTGAGCAGAGTATCAACAGTATTATTGGTGAGTTTGTCTCCCTATGTAACTGACTTGTCATAGATATCAAGAAAATATTTGTTTAAGAAAACAAGAAAATATTAATTCCATTATATTACATAAAAAAAGTCTCAGTCAAGTATACATTGGATTATTTTTTTGCCATTAACAGCTGAACGGATGGCAATGGAACGTTCGAGAGAGTACATGAACGCTCGACGCGTGGCTAAAGAGTTGGAGACTGTGACACGAGGTCTAAACAGAAACATGCCGTCTACGCCTCCCACTGTCGACAGAGAAGAAATGAAACAGGTTCGATTTGATACATCCATACATCTTCTTTACATAGTGTAAAATGAAGTTGCTGTCACTGTCTGTTCGCAATCTTTTAAATTACGCAACAGATTTTAACTGTTTTAGCAATAGATAGAGTTATTCAAGAGGAAGATATATAATGTATAATACATGTACATTCGTGCGAAGCCGGGCGGGTAAATAGTTATAAATAAATCAATACCAATTCTCCAGTTTATTAAATAGTAGAGTTATTAATATACTATTTTTGTTGTAGTATTGGATGTTTTGGGCCCATTTTCCCATACCCTCAATCCTTTGCCCCATGACACTCCGGTTGTGAAAACACTAATAACAAACCAATTTATCCGGGAGACGATAGTCGTCTTGCCTTTTGCCCCTTCAGATAAAATATATTCAGCAACCAAAATATGGGCACGTTAAGTATTGCGTTCACCACGTGACAGTTGACAATGATTGACTACCCCATCATGACTAACAGGCGTGGTATACTGTTGTACTTATTTCTATACCTTTATAACTAGGTGGAGCTGTGGAAGAAGTATATAACATGGGAACGGTCAAATCCTCTTCGTTCAGAAGACACAGCCCTAGTAGCTCGCAGAGTAATGTTCGCCATAGAACAATGTCTCCTCTGCTTAGCTCACCATCCTGACGTGTGGCACCAGGCGGCGCAGTTCTTGGATCATTCATCTAAGCTGCTGCAGGAGAAAGGGGTGAGTTGATTGATCACCAGGATTTTGAACACTTATAACATGTCAGTTGTCGCAGTGTTATGAAAAACAAATATCTACGTTGGGAATGGTTAATAGATAGCAAATTGACTATCTATTAACCATTCCCAACATAACTTTAAAACTCACATAACTCGGTGAGTGTTCTGAAGAATTGTTCGGATTAATAGCAGTTTCTAAGTTTCACCACGTACCACCCGCCAGAAACTAAAATACCATCCTGATCTGGATCTAGATGAATGCCGCTCCACAGTGCGATTTTTTTTTGCCACGGTCGACCACATTGTAGAATTACATCCGGGCAATGATATTTTCGAACCGATACTATATAGAAACCTTCTAGGAAACAGGCTTATTCCTTCTTAAAAGGTCGATAACGCACTTGCCTTTTCCCTGGTGTCACGGGTGCTCATGGGTGGCGGTAATTACATTCCATCAGCTGAGCCGCAAGCTAGTTTGTCCCCTGTGCTACAAAAAAAGCTCTCTAAAAACAGATAATTTCTGATCTGTGTGTTTTCTGTTTATATTTACAAAAAATTGTAAGACAGTTGAGTTTTCAATTTTCAATATAGTTGGTACCAATATTACAAACTCTGCTTAGTTTGACACTACATGACACTGTATGAATTGTCCTGGGTAATTATTATTATTATTATCTAGGATTCGAACGCAGCGCGTCTATTCTCCGAGGAGGCCGCTGCGGTTTACGAGAGAGCAACGAGTGGTCCACTCAAGCAATCTACGTTGCTGCACTTTGCACACGCCGACTATGAAGAAAGCAGACTGCATTACAATAAGGTTGGTTAATATATATTTATCTTTACTCATACCTGTGGCGGAGACGTATAGGAAAAGAGGTTTTTTTTTATTGGGGTGTTTGGGCTATATTCAAGTGCTAAAACCTGTAAAACTGCGACCTATATATGAAGATCTATTTGCTCGCCCTTGTTCAAAGTTCGCTACCTAGACCAGTGAGGGACAAGAATTGAAGGTTATTCTTAGGAGCTATGGTTTTTATCTCCTCAGATAGCGTGTATACTTTCCAAAAGTAGATATTTCGTTTATGCATGAGTGGGCATTCATGCATAAACAAAATGTATAGTGGCGTTTCCTCTTCTGCTTGGCAAAATCTGCAGATTGATGTTAAGCTAAGGGACAGAGGATTATGGCAAATGCAGACTGGGAGTTACGTCACTAGGAAGTGGCTTAGCATGGACTGTATATATTATAAAGACGAGATTATATGATTTATAATATTATAATATTATTTACGAGCTCTCAGTCCACTATTAATCGATCACCTTTATCATTGTATAACATTTTCAGGTGCACCAAGTGTATACAAGATATTTAGATATGGAAGATATAGATCCAACGCTAGCTTACGTGCAGTACATGAAGTTCGCGCGGAGAGCTGAAGGCATCAAGTCAGCCCGGACAGTGTTTAAACGAGCCAGAGAGGATGCCCGGTAAGATTGAATAAATTATTACACAGCTCTTATATACTCTACATTTTATGTGTCAGACTAGAGAACCTAACGTCATATCCTGGGGTAATTGCCATTTATTTATACAGTTATACAGTATTTTAAATAAAAAACGAAATCACGCTGCATATTTTATTTTGGCGGTTCCCGACATTTCACAATACAGACTCATTCTGTGCACAGAGTACGTTATACACAAACGTGGTAGAGAAACTAGAACAAAGACTATATATACTAAAATTAGTTTCCTTTCTACGTAATTACCATGATAAATATACTGCAGGCTCGCCTGATGGTAGAGACATCATATATAAACATCACTACGAACATCACGTTATCATGTGACACCGTGATACCACTCTTACGTTGGTTTTGTGACGTCACATCTCAATTTTAGTTTTAAAATACTAAAATTTGATCAGTTGTGACAGGGGACGGGGAGGTTTAAAAGTTAGTTAGCTGATAAACTGGCCCATAGCCCGGAATTTCATTGACTGATGATAACTTAATAAATTAATGGTGATAGACATACAGCTGCTATATATTAGTCTGTCTGTCCCAGGTCCCGCTACCACGTGTTCGTGGCTGCAGCGCTCATGGAGTACTACTGCTCTAAAGACAAGAACATTGCATTTCGTATCTTTGAACTTGGACTCAAGAAGTTCTCACACATACCAGAGTATGTGCTATGCTATATTGATTACTTGTCGCATTTGAACGGTGAGTATCATCATCATCTGCTAGTTCTTCCTTATCCCATTTATTTTGGAGTAGGTTATGGTATTTTATCTCGAAAAAGAAATGGATTTCTATATATTCTAATATGCTAAACAAGGTGACAACCAAAATCTTCTATTTATCATATCTTTTAGTATTAAAAAATCACCACAATGGTAAACCAAATTCTGCAATAAGTTGTAGAATTTGGTTTACCATTGTGGTGTTTTGAATTTGTCTTATCATCCGAATATGTGCTCCCGGGCAGTGACCTGCATTGGCATGATTTGAAAGTCCTAAACAAATTGCGTACCCACGTGGGTCGCTGCATGCACAACCTGCTGAAATGGGATATCACTTGGCTTGCGATCGTATCGTGCATCTATCGTATCATTTAAATCCAGCTTCTTACACGAAGAAGATCAAAGCAACCGATTATGTCATTGAAGTTGCTAAGCTCTGGTCTAAATATATTTGGATTTAGATATTATGACTAGAAGAATTGTAGAATTTATCATAAACCTTTGTGGGATAATTTATTCATAATAAATCATGTTAATCACTACCATGGTTGTATTAAAAATTATATTAATTTCTCTAGAGGACAACAACACTCGGGTGCTATTCGAGAGAGTTCTCTCGTCAGGCAGTCTCAAACCGGAGAGTTCAGTGGACATATGGAACAGGTTCCTCGAGTTCGAATCCAACATTGGTGATCTGGTCTCCATCGTGAAAGTCGAGAAACGACGACAAGCTGTGTTGGAGAAGGTAAAGTCTAATTTGAATTTCAAGAATCGCATTCGTCTATGATAGTGCTATTTCCCACAGAGATATTTTGAAATCTTTTTTTCGTGCTTACTTCGTTAGATAGTAACCATTAGCTGTGGAATGGTTCGCTTTTCTAGACTAAGTAGTTTCGGCTGTGTTGAATATATCGAAAAATTATCTACTATTAATTGGAATAATTTCAATGTTAATATATTTATGTAATGATTTGTCAATCATTACATTAATATTTTTTTTGTCTCATTCTAAAACTGGATTTTATAATCATAAATAAAATGTCTATCTTGATGATTTATTAAACTTACAATTCTGTAATAGTATACTTTTATTTTATTTATATAGATAAAAGAATTTGAAGGCAAAGAGACCGCTCAACTGGTGGACAGGTACAAGTTCTTGGATCTGTATCCTTGCAGCATTGCGGAGCTCAAATCTATTGGATATACTGAGGTATGATATTATATTAAATTTATAATAATAATAATTTTTGATACAAAAATACATTTTTGATTTTACTGTAGTTCTACACTAGGCTCGCAGGCCTGTATTGTAGAATAGTAATTACTCTGATTTCAGGTAGCGTCAATGTCCAATAAATCTTGGGCGCTCGGTGGACCTCTCGCGGGGATATCCCCAGAACTAGCGGCTGTTATATTAGGACAAAAGTATGTATAATTTTTATATTTTGTTTGATTTTATATTTATATTGACGTCTCGATTCCTCGCACGGTGCAAACGTGGTGTATGATTGTTTGTATCGGTCTGGGTGTTTTCCATGTATATTATCAGAGATAACATAATATCAATATTATGTATGTATTTTAAAAAAAAGTATAAGTTATTATATATATTTTTTGTAAATACATAAATTATAAGTCTTATTATATCAGTTGTCTAGTACCCATAACATAGGCTCTGCTTACCGTGCGACTAGATGGCGCTGTGTTAATTGTCCAGGGTTGTTTATTTATATATTTTATACTGCCAGCAAAAAGATAATTGCACATTTGTGTACTAATTACTAATATTACCACTTTTTATAGAGACAACGATCCAAATAAGGATATCGCTCGGCCGGACACCAATCAGATGATACCATACAAGCCGAAAGTGAACCCATTACCAGGGGAACATCCTATATCCGGTGAGTAAGCAGTGATTTATATTAAAAACTAAGTTTGTATGAAAAAGTCTATGAACGTAAAGAAATCAAGATAGTTATCTATACTATGTAATATTATCTTATCTGAGTCTGTACTAATATTATAAAGTGAGTTTTTTATGACTTAATTTAAATTTAACTTAATTTTAATCGTTCATATTACTCATCCAAATTCGAAAATTCTTTTAGTGTTGAATAGCCCATTAATCAAAGAAAGCTATAAGCTATAGAAAATTACGCCACAACACATATAATATAGGAGTGAATTACTCCAATGAAAATTTCGGAAGCGGGCACTTGGGCAAAGCCGGAAAGGATCACTAGTGTTATTATAAGAACTATGCACATACAAACAAATTTAAAAACAGACGTAATCAATAAATTAACTATTAGCAGAACCACGCATCCTACGCAATGTATAAATTAATATAAAAAAATATATTGTTATTATGCAATTTAAATTTATATATAAACAAGAATTATGCTTTGAATAATTGTTTTACAAAACTAAAAAATAAATAAATGATCAGGGGACACCCGGGTTTGAACCGGGGACCTCTCGATCTGCAGTCGAATGCTCTACCACTGAGCTATATCCCCTACAATAGAAACATCGAAATTAAGGTCCTTTTTCTGTATAACATCTCTGACTAAAGTAATTCAGTTACGAATTCAAATAAATTATGCATTTATTATTATAGTATAAATAATTTTCTAAATGAAAGATTACTTCTATTCCTAGATAAGTGATTTAAAAGTCTTAAACGTTTTACATGTCATATATAAAAAAAATAACCATACTTCATGTTCTAGGAGGGACATTCCCAATGCCGCCGGCGTGCGCCCACGTCTGCACCCTGATGCCGCCACCTACCAGCTTTCGTGGGCCCTTCGTCGCCGTGGATCGTCTCATACAACTTTTCAACAGAATCTCCTTGCCTGACAAACGTGAGTAATTCGCATGGATTTACAGAGGTACTTTCATATGAATATACATGCAAATGTGACATTGTCTGTCTGTCACCTATTCACACTGTAATCATAGTATATTATTTGTACTTTATTCTAGTTTAGTTTTAATTCAGTAGACTAAATTAAAACTAAACTAGAATAGAGTAAACAATATATTTGTATACCTATATGTAATCTATATATATTCAAAGTTAAATTAAGTCCGCCTTTTGTATCATAATTTATTGGTCAAGAGAATTTAAATAAAGAAATAATTTGTATAAATATCTTTGGCATAGTACACAGGGTTATTGCCGTGAAAAAAAATACTAATTGTCTACAAACAAAGTTTTGAGCAACAGCTGATAGTCCATATTTTTAGTCGATAGTAGCATTGAGAGTGCGGAAGAATTGAAACGGTTGACTTAACTATTCAAGTACAAATCTTTTCTTGAACTAACAAATATAGAAGATGTAATTTATTATGTCCATTGCAGCTCCAGCACCGACCCAGGAGAACGGATGCGACACGAAGCTATTCGATCTGGCGCGCTCTGTACACTGGATCGTGGATGACGAGGGTATTACCACTGTAGCTAATAAGGTAATCAATTATTGTTTTTTATTACTACAAAAAAATCCCTCCAGGTACTTAAATATCTGATTCATAAATGAAATCTTGATGTTAAGTAATAAATAAATTTAATTATTAACAAATAATATAATAATAATATTGCTAATAATTTTAATTGCTCTTTTATAGACGCGTCGACGGAAGGCCGGTGAAGATTCGGATGATGACGAATTGGGCGTAGCACCGCCTGTGAACGATATCTATCGGCAGCGACAACAGAAGAGAGTAAAATAAATGTCACCAACAAAATCATCTAGAAGAAATATTATCAGCATTAAATTATAGCTCTTTTACTGTTTTAAAGAAAGATACAAGTTGTTATTTCGGTTGTTCTATATTACCATATTATTTATTCTATATACCATCTATAATAGACAATGACTAACAGACTTTGAGTAGCAATTTATATGTTAAATCGAAATTTGCGCTAACTCAAATAGCCACCGTAAAGCCGAATTATTGAAACGTATCGCTGGTATTGCCATTTTGCGTCAGAGACAGTGTGTTGTTTTTTTTGTGGATGATAATGGAATGGTGCACCCGCCTGCGCTAACGGTTTACGCTGGCGGGGCACCAGTGGAGGATGATAAGATGAGCCTGAGGTCAGGTCAGTTAGCCCATCGTGACAAATTGCAGGAATTTAACAGATGGACAGGGGAACCGCGTGGAGGTGTGACATGGTACATTTAGAAATTATTATATCCTAAGATGCTGTACCTAGAACAAATGGTGTCACGTGCCTGGTTTTTCAGATTATCAAGAGCTGTTTAAACAAAATCTACTATTTTTTTTTTATTTTTAATCATGATAAATGAGTCATCTTACCAAATTAGAGTAGAGTAAATTTCAAAAGTAACTGAATTAATTTTATTACTTTTTTACAATCCATAGAGTTTACTTGCATGTTGATCTTAATAAACCTATCAAGTCATAAATAAGTCAGGATCGAAAGTTCCGACTGTAATGACAATTATTATCTTTTATCAGTTGGGACATGTTTTAGTATTTTATGATTAAGTGTATAATTATACTTTGTATATTTAGTTATGTATTTGATTGCGAACAGAATGATATTCATCTAATAAAATTTAAGAATTTTCCAGCTGAGTTTTATTTCACACATAATTTGACCAAAATTCACAGATCTTGCTATAGCTATCTAGTACTTCCTTGTTTGATTCAACTTAAGACCTCCGTGGTTTTGTACACTGTCTGTCTAATACCGTCGCTCACAAACTATGTTAAGTTTTAAGTTCATGAGTATGAATGAAAGCATAACATAGTTTGTGAGCGACGTACAAGTATTCTTCAGTTTAGTACCTTTCATCTTCTTATGCATGTCTTATTTTTTAACACAATCATATCGTACAGTTCGGCTAGCTACTGTAGACGAGAAGAACTGACAAACTCAAGTTTCAAGTTCAATATTTAAAATAAAAGATCCCATTTTGAACAACGAACGTTGTCACCCAAATAATCGTTAACAGAGGCTTTATTCAATAATGATTTCTTAATATTTTTGTATTTAATTAAAAAGTAGATCCAAAATATCTTTTGGTATATTATAAAATTTAATGCCTATTCCCACAAAAAACCTAATAACTTTACCTGAACGGAATTTGGGAACTTCAAGTTCACACTTATATATATCCAAAACATTGTGAAATACAGTGAAAATAGACTACAAGTTTTGGATAAATGCGAAACCAAAGTATACCAGAGGGTGAAAGGTCTTCACATGTGTGTTACATATACATAATAATAATATTTTTATTGCTCTAAAATAGCTGCAATACTAAGTTACTATTATCACAGCTATTATTAAGAAATAAGGCAGGGTATTTTCACAATCCACCCGAAAGACAGTAAATATTAGTGCTATACTAATATTTATTGTCTTTCGGGTGGTATACGGTAGATAGACTTTTCGTAAACGTTTTTTAGAAAAATATTATTGTTATAACTGAAATAGAAAGGCTTTTGTAAAGAAAGCTCCACAAAGCAAATTATCACTCATACTACTAGAATCATAGTGAATACTGACTTACTAAATTATTTGAATGAAAGAATGAAAATTTACCATTACTTGACAATGACAGTAATTTGTCAAAATTGACACTGACAGCTTAACATTTTATAACCCGGCCCTGCCTGGCTGGTACATATTTTTCAAGAATCATTATTTTGGCCCGAAAATGGCCTCGTTATTAAATGTTTTGCTCCGTAAATCTGCTTCTGGGCAGACTAAATTGTTACTTAATAATCTACCAGCGGTTTATAATGTAAAGTGAGTGTTTCAGTCGACTATAAATGACATAGTTTTTAATTTCCGTCGTGAAGTTCATTACGTAATTTTGTTATTTGCTGCAATATATTGTTTTGTATAAATTTGGTTTTTAAAACACTCTTTATCTCATTATTATTATTCACTAAATACTTTCTTATCTTCCTAGTTAATAGGATAGATATGGTTTTCAGTTTTTCAACGCCTAATGAAACAGCTACTCATTAGAGTGCCAAAATATCTGTAATATTGACTTCAAGTTTTTTCTGACTTTTGTATATAAATAAACTAACAATAAGCCTATTGTTTGTTTATATTATATGTACACTTTTTAAACCATAGTAGTACTTGGCATCAAATTAATTGGTAGGTATTATATATTTGATTAAGAATTGTCATCATAATTATACATCCCAAATGAAGTGTGTTTTTGTAAATTATTAATTACTCTCAATACATGTAATTAAACTATATATCAAGTCCTGCTCTTTATATTTAGAAAATATTTATTTAAATTAGCTTGCAGTTTATCAAAATAGATTGTCGATGCTTTTAAATGTATGGTACAAACAATAGATACAAATATTTGCATGACATGATCAAATATTCTCTAAATTACAAATCTATAACGACATAAAATCATATTATTTATATATATAACTACACTAATGCAAATAATATAAAATATAAATGTGACATTTTCTACTAGTCAACTATAGATAGTGCACAGAATAATAGTAATAATAGATATGCCTATACATAAAATTTATTTGTATGTTTTAAATAATTATTAAATAACAAATGTGAAAGAGAAGTCTACAATTAGCTTTAGATTAGCAAATTAATACTGATCATGGTATTCTAACATAGATTGATTTAACTTAAACAGTCAATATTGTATGAATTACATGCCGGATGCAGACTTTGTTTTTTTCTGCTCAAACATGCCCCATATAATGGTAGGTAATATAGCATGCAGTAAACATATATTCTTTATACTTATAAGACTCATTTTTTAGATGGATGCCGGATGCAGACTTTGTGAGGAAAAGTTATTGATTTAGAGTCGCTGTAGGTAGAGCTCAATGTAGTCTTTTTTCAAGAGTTCGATATGTACCCTGATGAAGTTACATCACTGCTCAAACATGCCCCATATAATGGTAGGTAATGTAGCATGCAATAAACATATATTCTTTATACATGTGGACTGATTACCCCATTCCTAACAATTATAATACTCATTTTTTAGTAATTTGCATGATGGGCTAACTGACCTGACCTCAATCCACATACTTTCTACTGAAATGTGTGAGAGTGTGTATCCAGGCAAATTACTTTCTAGAATGGTAAAATTATTATTGTCATACATTAATACTCAATTGTTTTTAGGCATAATCACGCCATCTGAGAAACAAGTACGCAATATGGTGTTGAACTTCGGTCCGCAGCACCCTGCTGCTCACGGAGTGCTTCGTTTGGTGCTTGAGCTTGATGGAGAGGTATTATATTATAATAAAAAGATCCTCTAAGCATTATCTTTTAATTATCCTTAATCGATATAGCTGTTCCAAGTATTATTCATGCTCTATATCTTTTTACATTTTTTTTTTTTACATACCACTTAGGTGGCAAACAACCATACGGGTCACATGCGCGTACATTGGGCCGTGGGCATCATGTCAAACAATTCTTCAAAACATAATCCTTTGTATATTCCGTAGAACATACAAAGGAATGCGAAGTCTCGCCTCAAGCTAAGTGATTCGATGCCGTATGAGACATTGGGATCATTGACAATTCTCATAGTACGTCTCTGAACCGTGTCAGATGCCCTAATGTCTCACGATATTATTACTTTACTTTTATAGACAGTTCGTGCAGCGGATCCTCACATCGGACTGCTCCACCGTGGCACAGAGAAGCTTATTGAGTACAAGACATACACACAAGCGCTGCCATACTTCGATCGACTAGACTACGTTTCCATGATGTGCAATGAGCAGTGCTACAGTTTGGCGGTAGAGAAGTTGCTTAACATCGATGTGCCTCTGCGTGCCAAGTACATTAGATGTATGTTTATTTTTTGTTATTTTTATCAACTTTGGGAGATCGGCAATCAAGCTGATATATGATAGTGTAACTGTTCCAAAATCAGTTGTACATATTATCTCTGTCGCAACTGTTTCAGCTTGATTTATAAGCTAGAGCAGTTTGGTTTATAAGCTGTGTTTAAGTCATAGAATGAAATGTGACAGTGAAATTACAGGGTAACATAATGGAGAATAGAATAGACATCTCTGATTACTTGAATTTGTGATATTCATGATGTCATTGTGATATGCATGGATTGTCCTATATCATCAGTTGGGCTTATAGAAGAGATATATATATATATATTGCCGCATGGTGTTAAGTCCGCCATATGTACTTTCAATTATGTGCATTAAACTTTTAATAAATAAATAAATATAGTCTCTAGAAGTACCTAAAACAGACAATACAGACAATCATACTCATGAACACTAATCTTCGAGGAATCGAACCCGCTGTCGGAAGTGAGATGGCGTGCTAAACCTCTAAACTGTATGTTTCTGTTGTATCATTTTCAGTGTAACTAATTTTTTAGGTCTGTTTGCGGAGTTAACTCGCATACTAAATCATATTATGGCCATCGGCACCCACGCGCTCGACGTAGGCGCACTCACGCCATTCTTCTGGTTGTTCGAGGAGCGAGAGAAGATGATGGAGTTCTATGAGAGAGTCAGCGGCGCTAGGATGCACGCCGCTTACATTAGACCTGGAGGAGTAGCTATTGTAAGTTTACCTTTTCTGTTGTAGTTTTACTTTTATATCTGTATTCAGGTAAATAGAAAATAAGCAATGAAGTTAAGGCACATGCCTCCCCTATTTCAGCTGCCAAGCACCTGAAATATGTAAGCTGTGTTTTGGTTGTACATAAAATTACAGGATAAGAGGCATGAGTGGTATTATGGGCATAAATTGATAACGTTAGTGCAGTTCATATAAATAGGCGACAGTTACCGACTTACCATAGTGGGTTGTAAAGTTTTTAGCCAATCCAATTATATAAAAAATAAGACAAAGAAATATACACTGTTACAATAGACACTGTCGGCCTCTGTACTGTACTGTACTGTACTCTGGCCACTGTATTTACGAAAAAAAAACATCTATATATTTGTATCAGTTGTCTAGTATCCATAACACAAGCTTTAGGTAGCTTAATTTGGGTCTAGATGTGTGAAATGTCCTAAGATTAATTAATTTATGTAATACATTAATTTATAACTATATAAATTGATGGTGTTCCGCCAGGATATGCCATTAGGTCTCATGGACGACATCTACGAATTCAGCAGCAAGTTCGCAGAGCGCATCGACGAGGTGGAAGACGTGCTGACCACCAACCGTCTGTGGGTGCAGCGAACCAAGGATATTGGTATAGTCACCGCACAGGACGCCCTCAATTATGGATTCAGGTATTTACTTCTCTAACTTACAGTCATAGGTAATAACATAATAGATTATGTAAATGATAGGGACACAGTATGACCACGCGTAATTGTGCATAGGACTGCTTGAACTGGGAAATACACACACACTGAATATACTTTTAAAAACGTTAATTTGAGTTGATGTAAGTTTTAAATCTGTGACATTATAGCTCCTACACAAATGTACCGATTTTTTTAAATTTTTTTCGTTACTTGTTGTACAATAATACATGTATAAAAAACAAGTCACCTGGCCATTTGTCTGCTTGCCATAGCAGAGAATGGCCGGGTAACTTGTTATATTGGTATCTTTCTACTTTCTATAAATTTATAATGTATCTATCTTACATTATAAATTTATATTTAAATATATATATGACTAACCACTCTCATTAGTTAGTAAACAAAATATATGTATATTTAAAATATGCACAAAATTAACAATAATACTATATATATGTATATATAAAAAATATACAGAATCAAATAATACAAATATTCTTAATATAGTTAAATATGTCCGTAACTCAACGTCACTCAACAGATAATTAGTTTCCTTTAAATATGGATTAATTTAAAAAATTAAGCGGTTATTTGTGATGATTAATGATTAATCTAGCTATGATTTATTAGTTTCTTTTATTTCGGGATTCCTTAAAAATTTATTACCTTTACAATACAGCGGCGTGATGCTCCGCGGGTCGGGCATCAAGTGGGATCTCCGCAAATCGCAGCCGTACGATGCCTACCATCTGCTCGACTTCGACGTGCCAATCGGCACCAACGGGGACTGCTACGATAGGTAATATAGTTAAGACACTCATTCAGACACAGTTTAACACTCGCATATAACACGTTATAATGAGTTTTAGGCCACATGCACTCTTATTGATATAATTATATTTTTTACTAGCTGTACTTGCGACTTCGTCCTTGTGGAATTTAACAAAAGTGTTAACTATTTTTCTAAAACAAAATATTTTTCTAAATTAAAAGTAGTACTCCTTATTACATTAGCTACCTACCAATAAAAATTCCGTCAAAATGGGTCCAGCCATTTCAGAGATTAGCCGTAACAAACAGACAGACAGACAAAAATTGTAAAAAATATTCATATGCATGTAGTAAAAAAATGTTATTTAATATTACAAACAGACACTCAAATTTTATTTACATGTATATATTTTGCACTGGGTATATGCTTGATTCCGCTTAACGTGATGGTCAGAGTAAAACCTAACAATCCTAAGATGGAGAGTTGTATCCTATAATACTTACCAACTTGAAGAGACCCTTATATTTGTTTGGAAATGCAAAAGCAAGAAATGAATTAATCTAATAAAGAGTTTGCAGGCTGAAGCGAACAACTTTATCACATACAAAATATTTAAATATATTTTTTAATGTAATTATATATATACATAACTTAATAATAATATATAATACAATCATATAATAATAATGTACATATATCAATGGAATGGTGATTGAACCTGCGACAACAGTGTACCTTAATATTACTTGATTGTTATTTACACGATTTTAAGAGCCAGTAAAATTTATTTGGCGGTACTGCATAAAACTACTTTACTACAATTAATGCTTTTTGACAGACTCTCCTTTTTAAATTTAAAATATGCTGATGTGATGGCCATGCAGATGTTTTTTGTTTTTGTCGATACTGAGGGCCATTAAGTCATAGTATGTAATATTATCCTATCTGTGATCATAGCTTTCTTACCATTACTTTTATTTGCAGTTTATATGACATATCTGTCATTAAAACTTGTAGTACACACATCAAAACTTTAACAAATCTCAGTTAACATTAACATAATTAGATACCTGTGTCGAGCTGAGGAGATGCGTCAGTCACTCCGCATCATCGAGCAGTGCCTCAACCAAATGCCGGCTGGAGAGATCAAGACAGATGATTCCAAGTTAACACCGCCTTCTAGAGAAGAAATGAAGGTGCAATAACATTTATATCTTATGCTACATTTGATGCATTAAAAGGGAAAATTAAATTACCCAAAACAATAATAATTATACCCTTTCATATCATATATAAGTTCCCCCAAACATCAATGTTATGTCATTTTAATTTATGAGATTTTGTGTGACAATTCTTATAATTTTTTTTCTGCAATAAACTCTGAAACTACCTAACGAATATTCATTTCACTGTGTGTAATTTGGCCTAACTTAAAAACTAAGTTAGTTTTTATTGATCTTAATACTAGATTAATAACGACGTCATTATATTTCACAGACATCAATGGAAGCACTGATCCACCATTTCAAGCTGTTCACACAAGGTTACCAAGTTCCACCAGGGTCCACCTACACAGCCGTGGAGGCGCCTAAGGGAGAATTTGGCATCTATCTTGTCTCTGATGGTGGTTCTAAACCTTACAGGTAACAAATTATTTGACTAATTAATTTTAAATAACTTGCTGTTATTTTCAAATTCATCGAAATGATTTTGTTATAAAATATGACCATCATTATCTCAAGTTTCATAAATATATATTCAGATGTTTAATTGTGAAATGTAACACACAAACAGATAGGTACAGCTCCTAATTATAATATTAGTATAGATATATCTAACACGCTATATACTTCTGAACTAATCAAAGTATTGTGAGTATACAAGACAGCTACAGGAAATATGTGAGATAAACTCACTGAACTCAACTTTAAACAAAGGCTCTCTCATTAGGAAAAATAATTAAATATTATAAAGTAATATATTTTTTCAGGTGCAAAATCAAGGCGCCTGGCTTCGCTCATCTTGCTGCTTTAGAGAAAATCGGTAAAGGGCTAATGTTGGCTGATATTGTCGCTATTATCGGCACCCTTGACGTTGTCTTCGGTGAGATCGATCGGTAAATTATTTATTGTGATAGAACAATTTTAGCTTTTAAGTGTATCTCAGGATTGTAAATTGACAAAAAATGTATTTGTACAGTGCGTAAGCTAAATAAAGGAAAAATAAAGTATGTTCAAAACTAATATTACTGATTTTTTATTACATTTCGAATTTGTGTGATATAAATTGTCTTTTTAAATATAAGTCATAATATTTGTTTATACACTATACTTTATCGTCTTTATTCATTTAAAGCTCTAAAAAAATTATTTTTTTGGCAGTACAATTGTTTTTTTTTTACTTTTTTTAGCTTTGACATGTTACTAAGATATTTGAAATAATGTTAAAAACAAACTGATTTTACATTTACATTCCATTTTTTATATAGGAAATAGATGATATCTATATAGATATCTGTTATGTGGGAAATTAAATTGTTACACAAAACAACAGTACTCGATGTTTGTAATATAGATAAGTCATTACAAAAGATACATTATGAATAGGTACTTTTTGATACAATCAAATGTTAACGAAAATGGACAAAAAAGTTTTATATAATTGATAATGTAATATACTCCGACAATAATACAATTTGACAGCTATTATATGACTGACAGATTCATGAGTTAATATTACTCTATGATTTTGCCCTCCAAAACACAATCTCTGAATGAATGTCCAATTGATTGATCTATAACAGTCAAGTCAAGCAAAGCAAAGCGAGGCTAGCGAATAGTCTTCTGTTGTTTTTGTTTTGTTTACATATTTTACCACAAAAACAAAGCGGAAAATGTTATTTTATTCATTTTTCAAATCCTTGGTTGGAAAAGACGTTGTAGTAGAACTAAAAAATGATCTCAGCATATGCGGCACGTTACATTCTGTGGATCAATATTTGAATATAAAGTTGTCGGATATTAGCGTTATAGATTCAGACAAATATCCACATATGCTATCAGTGAAGAACTGTTTTATTCGTGGCTCCGTCGTTCGTTATGTTCAACTACCAGCTGATGAAGTTGATACCCAATTATTGCAAGATGCTGCAAGGAAAGAGGCTACCGTTTCAACAAGATAAACCTAACCTCAAATTGAGTATTGGCTCTCAAATCGGTTCCGGTCACGAAAGAAGTGGTTGTAAATACTAATTATAAGTTTTGGAATAATATACGATGTGAATTGAATATTGCTCCTTTTTTAACTATTACAGTATAATACCTTGTACTCTTTAGAATATTTATTGTGTACATCCACTGAAATAATGCATCCTTGAAATTGATCGATTTTCCTTGATAACCCTTGTAATGTTGTATTTCAATACATGCTTAAAACAATTCCATAGCTTTACATCCATATATTGAAACCAAATGTATGCATTTGGTGAAAAATGAATGGACTAAGTATAATTTATTATAAAAAAATATATTGAGATCTTTACCTACTATGTATACGTAGAATAGGTAAAATATTTTTTAATATATACTTCATATTTTTTTTATTATGTGAATTGATTTTGGGGTTTTTGTTACCAACCTCATTATATCAAAGAAATATTACATAAGTAATTACTGAGAGGGATCTATTCATGGAATTGCTTATATGAGTGCACAAACAAGTGCAATCTCAGAAAGAGCATCGAGTACTCTGAATAATACCCACATCAAATTAAGTTTTAATAAATAGTTCCTCTGCTATATTCCTATTACATTCCATCAAAGGGTGGTGGACGTTTTCAACTTTTTTATACATAACACATTTTTATCAGTAAGTTAAAGTCTAATTAAAAAAGCAGGAGACATCTTTATGTGGAAAACAGAGATGACTATTCAAAAGAAAATATTACTATAATTTGTGGAAAAATAATTTTTGTGATCAAAGATATATGTATGAATGGACCTTCTAATATAAGGGTCTTTTGTTTAATGGGTTGTAATGGTGACCCATTCTGGAATATAAGATGGTAATGGTATATAATAGGTAAGTAATGTAATGGTATATAATAGATAAAGTATATAATTTATCAAGATATAAAGTAGTAGAGAATTCAAATTGTTCTTTTTTTTATTTTCAACAATCCACACAGCGCCATCTAGTCCCAAGATAAACAGAAGTTGTGTTTGCAAGATCATCAATCCCACTGTGGTCTTAATATGTGACTATCATAACATTCCATAAGAATGACTGTATGTTTACCACTATAATTAATACAAATATGTTGTTTAAATGTGAGGATGGTTATTTCAATACCTTTTTATTTTACAATATATAATATAAATGATTAAGTGTGCCTGTCTGTTTTTACAAATGGCTAAATTATATTTAATGAAATTAGACATAAAAATAGATTGTATTGCATATCCGTCCTAGCCTAAACAATTTACTTTACTCTTTACCTAGAGGCTAGACATCGTTTATCTGATAAATAACAAAGTTGTCAGTAACAACTAGTATTCAATATAATCTTTTCTTTGTTGATGCCGATGTCGATAAATAGTTGTTTTAGCGAATATCCCTACTATATTCTAGTAGGGATATCCGCTAAAACAACTATAATATAGAATATAGTACAAATAATTTATCCCAATAGAGGGCACCATAGTATTAAAGTTTATTTCTACTTTAAGTTCAACAAATCACGTTTCCTCTTTATATGTAGACTCTATATTTTATTTATTTAGTAGCTTATTTATTGCATTTCCTCTGTAAGTGGGGCTTTACACTTTGTTCTGGCGTAAATTATCATTGTGTTTATTTTTGAAAGCATTGTAGTCGCAAGCTTTTGTCTAAACAAATTTTGTCTATTGGTATTCATTGGTCTGTGCCACAAAGCAAAGCAGTATTTTTCTAAGTCTGCCATTCATCAATATCATAAAAACTTATGACAACGTTCGAATTTGAATTGACAGATAGATACGATCTCTTCTAACCCATTAGTGATTTTATAAGTCAAAATGTGACAAACATATAGGGTTTCGGAGTAATTCAAACCTGTGCTGTAATCTGTAAGTAATCTATGCCTTGTTGTAGACTACTCTATGCTCATCACACAGTCACGCACAATTCATCACATCAATTCTTGTAACTAGTAAATTAATAGTATCTGCTTAAATCCTATTTTCCCACGGGTTATGCGAGGCGCTTATGTTTTAATGAATGACAAAATTGCCATCATTATAGTATTCCTATATTGCAATACTAGTATGTGATTAGAAATGTAAATATTTAATTGAAATTATCGCACAAAATGGACGTGAAAAGTTGTGTCCGTGGGTGTGAGATGAAGTGACTACGTTTATTTGGTTCTGTTTGGTGATACTTGTGTCCTTTTAATGTTTTTTTATTTCTTGAAGAACAGTGCCATTTGGAACTATATAATTTAGGCTGTATACTATCTGGCTATACCCCGTCATCATTGTTTTTCTAAAAAGTAAGTGGTCTTTTTGTATTTTGAAATAGAATTTTTGGAGCGAAGTTGCAAAGGAACGGTGTTAGTAAATATAATTTTTCTTAGTTATATTATAAATAAGAAAGTTAAATTGACAATTACGCGTTTAATAGCCGTGATTGCTTAAATATTGACCATTAAATTTGGCGTTTAAATAATATTCGCGATAAGGACATAACTTACTTTTAACTCGATTAATTAAGACTATTCGGCGATTGTGGGTAGGATGTGGTTATATAAATTCTTAATGAAAATAATAATTAGATACTAAACAAAAACAGTTTATTAATATGTGTTATTAATAAGTAATTAAAACAGTTAACATAATTGATGTCAATCTACAATTAATAATAAAATTCATTTATACTGTTTCTGATTTCAATAAAATCTACAGACAAAATATGTAATTATACCGTTTTCTATTTAAAATTCTAAATTACCTTAGTTTGCAATTATTAATTTATACAATAATACCTAATAATTTATTAGACTTACTTGGTGTCATGCATTTTATTAGACCTATAACATTAGTGTATTTTATTGACTGTTACAGCTCATGGTTAATTAATCACACACATACACACATAAAATATTTGAATAGATTCCTTTAACCAAAACATAATTAGCTTAATGATGGTGGGTCATACAAATTAAATCTTATTTTGATTGTGTATAGTTTATTGGATTGAATTAGATCATCAGGTTATAATAGCTTATCTATCTATATCTAGTTTACAACATAATTATGTGTCACCTTATTAAATATATTTTGAGATAAGAGATAAAAGTATATCATTATTATGTAGCTTTTACCTTCTACTTAAATGCAATATTAGCATCTCTGATACTGAACTAATGTTATTTTCACTTGCTTCGACTTTTATGATACAAACATAGCCAAATGTGCTGTCATAGATAAACTGCACCTTTCAAAAATTAATCTTATTTTTACATAATTATCCTGGTCATTGGTTTGATGTCATAAAAATAGCCTATGCCTTTTGCCATGTTATACACACTTACAGTATACAGTATATTAATTCTTCAAAAATTGTTAAACTGTTATAGTGTCAAAAAAGTAGCAAACAAAGTTACAGTCATGTTTATGATATTATCAAAAAGTGTTTCATAATGGAACATAACTTACCTAAAAATATAAGAAAACCATGCTTCCTGATGTCCAGTAGGATGACAGAGTTAACCTCATGGTATTTACATCAAATATGGGGCATTTTTTTTATGTAAATGAAATGGCTGGCACACATGATGGAAATGGCAACCATGAAAATGACCACAGATATTATGTGATGACTGTAAGATCATCAAGTGATTGATAAATCACATTCATGTTTTTTTACATACTTCAGCTCCTGTAACATATGAAAAGGTGAAGATGAAAACATGGCCCACTGTCATTGCAAAATTACTAAGAATTAACAGTGGTTTCCATGGATGGGCATATTGCTGACAACTTGACATGGTGCCTTCTTTGTTTTACTGCTTCTAATAGTTTTTATTAGTAGCAGTCCTCCCATGACTGAGAATAATGATCAGAATACATATATCTATACACAGTTTTTCTAAATAATGAAAGTAAATGTGTATGTATGTCTATTAATTGTTATGTTACAATTACCAACATAGGTATGAGACAATAGCAAGCTTACTCCCACACTTTCATTTTCATTTCTCATTATACCAACTTTGTTTAATTATGTGACAATTTAAAGAATAATTTTAATTATGAAATAGTCTTTTTGATGAGTAACAGTATTTAATTAAAAGTATTATATATTTGAAAATGGAATTTTTTAGTTGATAATATTTGTATTTGACATATTAACAATTCCTTCAATAATTATATTTAGCATATCTACCAGCAGTGTTTAGTTGTGGTCTATTTGTTTTTGTTTTTAGTTTATTGTATAGTCTATATTGGTTAGTTGGATTATCCTTAATACTGATGTGTTGTCAAATCCTGTGGTAAATCCAATTTACCAATAAACATGGGTATGTAAATGTGGGTATATTTTCTGTAGAATTAATTTTATATTAAAAGCACATTTTTAATTGAATTTTGTACTGAAGGGCTTTAAGAAAAGACATGCATTTTAATTTTGAACTAATATTGTTGTTGAAGTAGAGGCCAATATTATTTATGTGAACTAATAAATATTTTTATATTACTGGTATGGCAAATAATCTGCTGTCCTACCTGATGAAAAGTATAACTACTACCTACAGACAATTTATCATAAACTATATTATTTTAAAAATTTGCATGCATTTTGTAGTTATATGTTATAAGTGTGTATGGGACTTTAATGACCTTACTATGTACATACATATATTATCCTCTTTTGTGAGTATTCATTCAAACAAAAACAAATCTGCTTATAATCTGTATATATATAGTTATATACAGATTATAAGCAGATTTGTTTTTGTTTCATCACTATATCTTCATTTTCTTAAATGTATATAAATATAAAGACAAGGAGAATCTGTTATTCCATAAATTTGAAACATACAGTCCAAAAAGATGTTACTTTTTATCTCACATTTTTCTTTTATAATAATAAAGCCTATAATAATCTAAAGGTCATATCTGTTTCTATAACCAAGTCAGCTTAGGCTGAAGTTTAGCACACAAACTTGAACAGTAATAGTAAGAATTAACTACAATATTTTCCAGAAAGAACTGCATGGTGGTCGATCTGACATAATACATTGATAGTAACGGGGCCAACAATCTCCCTATAATAATAATACCACATGAAAATTCTTTAATAAACCCCACAGTCATCGTTACACTATGGTTCATAATTAAAAAAAAAATGCATCTTGGCAATGAAGTTATCATTTCCATATATGAAAGAATACCGATGGCAATGACCCTTTATCATTAGTGGTGCAAATAGGCTAATGACAAAGATAATTACAATAATAAT